TCATCATCATCATCATCATCATCAGTACACACTGCACCTCCAGTGTCCCCGTCTGTGGGCTTCACTGGTTTGATAGGATCATGGAAATGGCCCACATTTTAAAATATAGCCCACATGTAGCCCCCCCCACCCCCAATGCAAGTCCACAAAACCTGCAGTGGCTTTAGATCCTGTGTGTGTCCTACACAGGTTTATGTCGTAGACTGGTTTTAAGACCCTGGACTTTTTGGTCATTTCTGTGTATTGGGTTCCTTATCTTTAGTACACTAGGCCATTACTGCATCAAGCAGCCTGTCATTACTGTTATCTACTTAAGCTAGTCTGGAAGTTTCTTCAGTTTCCAAAGTGTTTGACGTTCAACTCCAGTGAATTCTTCTCAGACGTTGGTCTCTGTTCCTGGACGTTGTTGGTTCCAGGGACTTCAGTGTCTTCTTCAGGAGACGCAGACAGTCGTGTTATCTGCTGCAGACAGTCAGCATTTCATCAGCGGTCAGTGGAGCAGAAGTCTGAGGAGGAAACCTGCCAAAATAAAAGTCCACGCCTCCCTGAGCAGAGAGAGGGTTTAGTTGAGTTTGGTTTTTTGTCGTTCTGAACATTTGTTTTTTTGGCAGATCAAACTGAAGTCACTTCCTGACTGACACTCAGCTCAGTCACTGATTTCATGCTGATTCTGTGGGAAAATGAATTGCAGCGTCTGGAATATTAGCGAGTGTTAGCGAACGGTGTCACAGACGTGAGGAGGAGACGGTTGGCAGACGGTTCAAGGCCTGGCACGGAGCAGGCGCTAAATTTGTCAGGGCTTCAGAGTTTTCCTGGGAAAGGAGGAGAGATTCCAGGCAGTGCAGGTAAAATAAAATCTTCAAGGTCGGCTCTTAGATTCCTGCAGCAGGATTCTCAGGCCGGACTTCTACGAGGAACTCTGGTCTGACGGAGACTGAGGGTCAGGGTGTCAGAGTTTGGAGTCTCATTTCTGTTTGACCGTGGATTCAAATTGGATCAGATTACCGTCATGTTTGAGCCGGGTCTTAGAGAATCTAATCCAACACTTCCTGACAGTTAGTGTGAAGCTGTGGTGTTCGACATGGTCGTTGAGAAGTTCTAGAACAGAAGCTTAAAAATGTTTGGGTTTTTTTTGGTTTTCTTCAAATTACAATATTATGTGTTATTTGTCCTCTTCACACACACACACACAGACACACAGACACACACAGTCCAGCAGTGTTAGTCTGTATTGTCAGTGTCTGTGTTGTTGCTTCAGTCAGCAGATGTAGTTGATCAGGCACAGAGGCATTAATATTCATCTCCCTGGTTTTTACAGAACTCTAATCCACACATGTTGTTTTTTAAAGCGTGTCAAAGCCATTTCTTTTTTTCTTTTTGTCTTTTTGTTGAGCTGCTCTCAGGGTCACCGTGGTAACGGCTGCTGATAGAATAACGTCTAGTTGATGGTTTAATCCCCAAACTTTAGACTGACTGAAGGTTTCTGCATACTTTTGTTTTTGTTTTTTTTAAGCATATTAAAGGTTATTTTGGCAGAGAAATCTGAAGAGCGTGGTTCTGTGGTTCTGTGGTTCTAGTCATGTTTCTGTGTGAGTACAGTTTCAGCTGTGATCTGGGCCCAGCCTTCTGGAAACATCTCTGACCCTGAGACTTAATTACAATCGTTTCCTCCCACAGACTGAAGCCTCTCTGAGCCCTGAAGACTGCTCCCATTCTCCTGCCGGTGTTCCCATTCTCCTGCCGGTGTGTGTGTGTGGGTGTGTGTGTGTGTGGGTGTGTGTGTGTGTGTGGGTGTGTGTGTGTGTGTGTGGGTGTGTGTGTGTGTGTGTGGGTGTGTGTGTGTGTGTGTGTGTGTGCGTTCACTCTGCGGTGGCAGTAATCAGCTGTGTTCAGATTCACACTGAGATCCCTTCAGTCCGGGGGACTGGAGGAGAAGGGTGCGTGGGGGGGGGGTGGCTGAACTGCCTGCAGCGACGCCGTGATCGTGCTCTGTGGTCGTTTCCTGAGGTGGACGCTCGCTCCGCGCTCCTTCTGGGTTTAAAAGTTGTAGTAAAAAACTCTGTTGTTGAGCCGCAGTGAGAACCAGCGTCTGAATCAGAAATAACTGTGGTTTTCTCCAGCGGTGAAGTCTGGTCCTGACAGAGATTTGGCAGCATTGTTGCTCTTTTTTGAATGAGGTGAGGGGAAGAAGGCTAATGCCGGACGCCCACGGACCTCCCCCCTCCTCCTCCCACTGCTCTGGTCTCAGCGCAGCAGGATCGGGTTTCGTCCTGCCTCTCATTTTAGGCGGCAGAGCTGTGCTGGAGCGGCGGCGTTGATTAAAAGCCATGTGAAGGCAGGCTGACCTCAGGACTCGCCGGGCCAGAGATTACGACGGGGAAAAACCTGTTTCTTACTGTTTCCTGTAGAGAAAGAAGAAAATCCAATTTGCACGCATCACATCAGGAAAAACAGGATCGGAAAATGAGCAGGTTTAACCTGAATCTTAGGCTAAAAGAAATAAAACGTACAGGACGTTGTTGAACTGTCGTGGGTTTCTAATCTCCATTTCTAAGGAAGAGCTGGATTACAGACGGGAGTGTGTGTTTCTGAGTTGGAAAACCACATGACGGATTTCCTCACACGCTCCAGAGACGATGATAATCTCCGACGTTCATTCATCTTTCAGATGAATGACATCGATGAAGCTGGCGTCAAACCAAGCCATGATGGATTATGGCACGTAGACCAGAATATTCACCAAATAATCCCATTATGGTTCACACACGTGAGAATGAAGAAGACAGAACTTAGTCTTCCTCCAGGGAGTTTGAGGAACTGTTTAGAAGTGACACTGAACAGACTGAGTGATGTGGAATAATACCAGGAACCCCTAAAGACAGGACTGTACATTATAGCAGCGGTCCAACTTTTTCTACTCTGTTCCACCTGAGAAAACCTTGATCTCTCTGAGTACCACCATGATGACCAACATTAGAATACAGCAGCACAGGCCTTCACTGTTAGCTTCCACCACAGGAGAAGAAAAGATGTTTATGTTTAAATGTTGTATTCATTGTGCATGGTGTGTTTCAGATTTATTCAACTGAAAATGTAAATGTGAAAATATAAATTTTCCCCACATACCACTAGAGAGCGCTCGTGTACCACTAGTGGTACGCATACCACAGTTTGAGAACCACTAGATTATAGTTTCTATGTTAACAGAGAGATCTCTACAGTCAGACTCACTGTCACCTTCATCATCCTCATCATCATCATCGTTAGCAGATGCAAAGTCTGCGTTTATCAGCTTAGAGCTCCAAAAACTGATATCAAATCAAAGTGAAGGATGATTGTGATGTCAGTCAGGTGCAGAGCTGGTGCTCAGACCTCTCAGACCTGATGTCAATAACACAGACTTTGATTAGTGGAGTTGAAGCCAAATGATTGGAGAGAATTTCAAAGCCCCTTCTCACCTGATGAACACAAATGGTTTGTGATTAGAGTTCATTTATTTGCCATTCAGAATCAATCAATCTGTTGCTTTGACACTGGCTGTTTGTGACCAGAGTGGAGCGCTGACGAGACATGATTAGCTGCTGCCCTCTGAACGCTGCCGGACCCCGGAGAAGATTAGACACGTCCTGATTCCACTGACGTGACACACAATCAGCCGTTACACTTTAGGGGGACACTTGAACGCATCGTCACATTCAATTTTCCCAATATCAACAGCTGCATATTCAATCGTACTGGAAGAGCTCCATCAGGAGGCTTGATTTTTTTTTTTTTGGGGGGGGGGGGGGGGGGATAAAAACCAGCAGTGTTGCCCAGAGAAACCACAGCGCAGCACCAACCATTTATTATTTAATCCTGTGACTCTGCAGCAGCAGAGGCCTCACACCGACCCGGCCTGCCGCTGATTAGAGTTCACGGTCAGCCTGAGTTTGTTTTGGTTTCAGCAGAAACAAAGAAGTCCAATACACAGGCAGAAAAAAAACCGTTAGAAACTTTTAAAGTACTCTGAGGTAAACCTCTAAAAACCTGCTGTCAGACCAGAGAAGATTTAAACTCCACCAATCACAGCTCAGTCACTCAGTCTACACTCGGGGCTGTCGCCTGTCGACTGAGTCAGCGCCACTGCTGCTGACGGAGAAACTGAGACCTTCCTTTTCCTCGCATATCCGAGTGACACCAGTGCCACCGGGGGCAGATGTGAGCGGCTGCTTGAATCACAGCTGAGTGATTTCTCCGTGCGTTCCACATCACTTTGAGATGTTGGTGTGAGAAGGTCAGCTGCTTCAGAGTCTGGGAACCAGAACCAGAACCAGAACTGTGTTCTTCTGTTAGAACCTCAACTACTGTTGAGGGTTCAAATCCCCATGATGTGGGTCTGTGGGTTCTCGACTGTCAGTAGTGGTGTAACTAATAATGTGTCTCAGCTGCTTCAGAGTTTTCACACACACCAAAATACACACACACACAGACACACACACACTGGACTCCTCTGTGCTCCTCTACAACAGGAAATATGGCAGACAGCTGCACAGGAAGTCACTGCTGACTTTTTAAACAGGTGGAGCTTTTTAAATGAACACACTTTCACTGGCGGCACACACACACACACACACACAAACACACACACACAGACACACACACACTGCACTCCTCTGTGCTCCTCTACAACAGGAAATATGGCCGACAGCTGCACAGGAAGTCACTGCTGACTTTTTAAACAGGTGGAGCTTTTTAAATAAACACACTTTCACTGGCGGCCCACACACACACACACAAACACACACACACAGACACACA